TAACCATGGTTAGATCATGGGCTCACCACTATCAACCCGTGACTAAACAGTCAAAGCTGTGGAAACATAGAACATCTCCCCCGAAGACTACAGCAAAGTTTGTTCCATCAGCTGATGGTTCAAAATGACTTGGTGGACTGAATCAAAGGTCAGACCATTAATGGATAATATTATGCGAATATGCACGAACAACTGCTCGAGAAATCCACATTTTGGTAGACAAACATTCATGGCTTAAAACACCGACCAAAGACAATGGCAATTTAACAGTTGCTTTTCACAATAATCTTTCAACAACAATAAACATATTTGAATATCTAATACGATCAATAATTCCAGGGATAGAAACTCATTTTTGGAAAAACATAACGATTGCATTTTCCTTGAAGGACTTCTTTGAACCCGCTTTGGTCCACAGTTGCACTATGTTGTGGAAGTTTCATCATGAAGTAATGCCACAAAACAGGGGTGTCACTGTCTGTGGTCCTTTCACATGCTCTGAGATTGTCCTAGTGATAACATGTATGTAACTCACCCAATATTAAGATTCTTCTTTCCATATATGTATGACGCAAAGAAGGTAACCCATTGAAATGGACGAAGAAAAATTAGACATTTTCATTATCCCATGACTAATGTAGTTGTAGTCAAGGAAATCTGGGCATATCTTCACTCAACTTGAAACAAGATATATCAATACACTGTTGGTCTCTGGTGATATATTTGAGTGATTTGAACTTCTCCATTGGGGTAAACAGACCCTAGGTTTCGTGAAGAATACTTAATCAATTGCATAAATCAATTTCCAGATTGATGTTCTCAGGAGTATTTAGGAGCTTTATGATATACAAACCTGTCCAATTTAGTTTGCACACTAAAAGCAAAACTATTGCAGGTTATCACTATGGCGTTAAATACACAGTGAAGTCGATTTTCGATTGATTGTTTGGTAATTAACAGAATCGGATCCCTTGTATGTGTAAAATCTGTATAATATATAAATTTACATATGAACTGTTCGATCAAACAGATGACACATTTTTTCCATGTATTCGTCGGCATGATATTTCTACAATAACGCTTTCATATCCCAGTTTAACATCCCAGTTCACTCTCTTTCCTCACAGCAATGGAGTTGTCCTAACCTACTTTTCAATACAACATTACTTCGCTGACGTCATAATTACCTATGGCCTGATGTTTGGAACTGGCGAAGGTACAGCATACGGTGCTCCGATGAATTGTGCAATGATGGTAAGCTGACGTCAGAATTACCTATGGCCTGATGTTTGGAACTGGCGAAGGTACAGCATACGGTGCTCCGATGAATTGTGCAATGATGGTAAGCTGACGTCAGAATTACCTATGGCCTGATGTTTGGAACTGGCGAAGGTACAGCATACGGTGCTCCGATGAATTGTGCAATGCTGGTAAGCTGACGTCAGAATTACCTATGGCCTGATGTTTGGAACTGGCGAAGGTACAGCATACGGTGCTCCGATGAATTGTGCAATGATGGTAAGCTGACGTCAGAATTACCTATGGCCTGATGTTTGGAACTGGCGAAGGTACAGCATACGGTGCTCCGATGAATTGTGCAATGATGGTAAGCTGACGTCAGAATTACCTATGGCCTGATGTTTGGAACTGGCGAAGGTACAGCATACGGTGCTCCGATGAATTGTGCAATGATGGTAAGATGTTTTGTATTGTGTCTAAATCAACTATAGAAATGTGTCATATTGTGGAAATCATCGACGATTCCAATGCCATTCCTAATATGGTCGTTGTTTGTGTTTGTTGAGACTTGCCAAATTTTGTTAAGGGTGTTGATGCATGTTATCACTATTTGGACTTGTAATCGTACTGCATGGAGATGCATATTCGTCTTTTTATTAAGTTAGAAATCGAATAATCTGTTTCGTTCCCTAAAGTTTTCATAAAAAGTCGTTTTAACATGGATATAGAAGGCAAATGATCCTCAACGAAGTTTTACAGATTCACAGGGGGCACGACTGGCCCGATCGTCTACGGCGACGCAATTCGCTTGCAGAGCTGCGTCCCTTATGCACAGCAGAAACCTATGAATTTGGGTTCGAATCCCGGTTGGCTTCGATTATATTTCTAGGTTTGTCAGTGCTCGTGTGTTTCACCAACGTGGTAAACGTCCCGCATCACTCCGGGATTTCCTCCCACATTTAGCTGGCATGCCGTGATATAATTGGAATTTCAAAACTATTACAAGCGGCGTTAAAACCTAACATATAGTTACTCACAACCAGGATTCACAAGACCTCCGAGCAAGCTGCGACAATACATATATCAGGTTGTATTTCTTGAGAGAAAAATAATAATTTATATGACACCTGACATAGTTTTAGTGTTTGCTCCTTGTGCAACATTTGTCTCCTTGAGAATTCTGACCCTTCCCTGAAAGTTCGATATGCGTAGGTACCATTCATATGAATAAATTGCAGGGATATCCCCTTCATTTGTCGTTGTAATACCTGGCTTCCATTCATGGATCAGAGCAACCCTCTGAGGGTGGGGCTTGCCAGCGGCTTGATCTTGGAGGCAGTGCTTTCATCTTTAACTACGTCCAGACGAGGTACATCAAACCTGACAACCTTGAACCGGATTTCACAGGAGACATTTCAAAGTAAGTACAATGAAGCCCTGTTGGCACATCCATCCATGTTGTAGCCTTCTGCGTTCTAGCTTGTAAATACATTATAAATGGCTGATAATACGCTGAGTAAGAGTTTCTACAGAATCAGACTTATGACTTAAATGGTCAGTTTAGGTTTCATATATATCACCCATTCTGATAACCCTCTTTTTGTACATAATTTGTTTTCTTTCAGTTACTTATCTCAGCCAGAGCTGCTCGAGAAAGTCCCGCGCATGTTCCTCATCCTTGGGTCGTGATATGCTTCTCTGGAAACCCTGGGAATCATACGTCTTAGGTAGCCATCTCCCAGCTGGGTAGTTTATAACGTTGTTTGTTGTTTAACGCCGCGCTCAGCAATATGCCAGCTATTCACAGTGCTCATGTCCATCTTCAACATGACAAAACATGGCGATGGGAAGTCTCTTTTCTTCATCTTTGCCTGCCTCACATTCGGCGCCTTCTCCGACAACTACTCCTTCATCATCACTGCCACCGCCAGGACATTGGGACAGGAGTATATCATTCAGACGTATTGGGTGTTTTTTTCGTCACGGGTCAGTTGGCAGGCATACATAAATAGTGCCTTAAAACTAGTATAAGAAATATTTTGAATAGTACTGTACTTGTATGATGTCATCAGAAAAGATCAAGTCAACACAATAAATCTGATGATGAAATATTTTCACACTATACTATATAAACAACTTAGCAGACTTTCTATGAATCATCTTCAACGTTGAGGACAAAAAGTGACAAGACAAGTTCAATAATCATCACATTGATATCTGATAAAATTGTACGATTCGGACTACATCATATGACTATATCCAATCATCGGTTTATCATAAAGCATAATTTAAACGTCTTGGCCACATTACCATAATTTTGCCAGTAATCATATGCATAACAAGAATCTTCAGAAGATGACAAATCTCCCCGAACCCACAAATTCAAAAGAATAAATCATCTGATTGTTACAGCAAGTCCTACAAGTGTGATCTGTCTAACGTGACGAGAGTATTTCTATCTTATCTGTCTGTCCATATTCAAGAGTAGTTTCTGAGCTATCAAAATTCCGTGAAATGGGGATTCGGAACTTGTATGTTAAGTTGTTTTGTTTCAAAGATAAGGTTGAGTGGATGTTACAAGGTTCACATAGCTTATGCTGAAATCGGTTATCTACAGTTGCTGAAGCTCACCTATCACATTAAACTTTTTACATCTTAGATATTGCATTTCCTTCCTGTTACCTTCACTTCCAGACAATCAAATAAAATAAATTATATAAAAAACAGTTGACAACCTGGTCACAAATGAATACATGTAGCTATATGCTTTATAGATATGATCCAGATAAAAAAACATATTACTGATGGACAGACAAGCAGATTACTATACCCCCATATTAGCATACCGGGAGATATAAAAAAAGCTGATAGCGCAGGGTAGCACAAATGGTGACCATGGGGATGCCTCCTTCTTGCTTAAATGTCTTACCCCCAAATTTTCCATGGATGTTCTCAATGAGGAACCCAAGCATTTCACAGCATTTCCCAACAGTTCTCGGTAAACTTTAGATGACAGTTGCATTCGTGTTTGACAATAGTCCTGCATCATACACCATCATATCAATCACTCATACTTATACATGTTGATTTTGACAGATGGTCATTGCTCCTGTCGGAGCGCTGCTGACGTCTAATCTTGCCGACATGTATGGGCTTTTTCTTTTAACCCCTGTATTCTCGAAACCCCTTTCTGCATTATTGTGTAACTTGGTGATCAAGGGATCTCATCTTCTCCGAAGTCTCTCTTCAACAGAGTGAGTGAGTGAGTGAGTGAGTGAGTGAGTGAGTATGGTTTTACGCCGCTTTTAGCAATATTCCAGCAATATCACGGCGGGGGACACCAGAAATGGGCTTCACACATTGTACCCATGTCGGGAATCGAACCCGGGTCTTCGGCGTGACGATCGAACGCTTTAACCACTAGGCTACCCGACCGCCCCCTCTTCAACAGAAGCGTTTGGAATAGTGAGTAACTGTTACTTTGGTAAATATATTACTCATACACTGCTGAAAAGGCAAACGGCCCCAGCTTCGATTTGAATGTATTTAGCTGCACATACCTCTTGAGATTAAAGCGAACACGAGTCTTACATATCAGCACATTAGTCCAACTATACCGTGCAGGATACATAATGTGAACCGACATATCTACTTGTAATCTTTGTACGCATATTCATCATCAGATGCACACACAACAGTTTTATTTAGGTTATCACCGTTATCAAAATGATTATATATTGTATCATCCCTTTTCACCATGTCATAACTAGATGTCATTCATGAAAAGGCGGTCAAGGATATTGTTTGATGTCCATAGAGTTTCAATTTCTTTCAACAAATGTGCTTACTTTACTCAATACCCTGTTAAAACAAAAATCAAGGGAACTTGCTTCATCAACTTGTGTGACGTGCGTTAGACATCAAGAGGGCGAAAGAGTATTTTGTCTACTACACATCTGGGCAAGATGCCGTGCTGGATCGGCTGGCCTGCCACGAGGGTGATCATTGGTGGAGTACTTATACACTTAACCTTGGGGACATTATACACATTTGGTAAGTCAGTGTTACCATGTCAATCAATCAGTTATATTCAGTACTTAAAAAGCCACAGGCCTATAGTACAATGCGTATTTACATGTAGGTGACGTGGTTGTTAACTAACAATTCTGTTTCTATTTGACATCGCGTGATAAACATATGTTGACAGGTTACCTAACATAGTATCATTAGATGAAGTTAAAAGATCTACAAACTTATGGACATTCGGGTGTACAGAGTAGAAAGATGGCAAATATTTATAACGTAAATGTTTGTAAGCTTGACATACCAGAAGAAAGTGAAACTCATCTTCAATTGAATTTGTGTTACACAATGTGCGTATTCTGTCTCTTCTATCAGTGTGATTATATCTACCAGTCTCTATATACAGGTTGTGAGAGGAACATCTAAATCCTGCTAGTGTAGTTCTAATTTTTTTAAACTCGCCTAAATTTCAATATTACTTTTCATGATTTTATAATATAAACATTTATTTGATTTGGACATTAATTCTAACCATTTCTGCAAATACATATGTTTTGGCTCTGTGTGAAGGACATTAAAAAGAGCGGTTCTGATTCTACACACTGACTATACCACACATAATTAACTTGGCGTGGTTCAATGTTGGCAGAGGCCTTCAATTGTTTCGAATAGGTTACACAAAACTGATATTTTCAGAATGGATTCACTCCATTGGACTAACCTTTTTGCTTATTTGTTCTTCCACAGGCAATATGAACCCATACATCACGTCTTACCTACGGTACAAGTTTCGAGCCTCGGATACCGACTACTCAGACACAGCATGGGTGTACTCGGCTGCCACCATGGGCATGGGGTCCACGATCGTACTGGCGGGCGCGATCTATGACAGATTTGGCCCTCGCAAGACTGTGTCTTTTGGTTGTTTGCTAATGAGGTATACTTAGATTTATCCGAGTAGCTTTAAGTTACAAGTGCTGAATAATAACTTGATGTTTGTGAGTCCATTACCCAGCCAGGATAAGGGTCTTTATCTATAGTTTACTGTTCATTGAGGGGCGGTCGGGCAGCCTTTTGGTTAAAGCGTTCGCTCGTCACCCGGGTGCGATCCCCGACATGGGTACAATATGTGAAGCCCATTTCTGGTGTCCCCCGCGATATTGCTGGAACATTGCTAAAAGCGGCGTAAACTGAAACTCACTACTGTTCACTTTGCGTGCGTCCATTACCCGTCCAAGGATTAAGGCCTTGATCTGTATTCTACTGTGCGCTGTGCGTGCGTCTATTAACCGTGCCAGGATTAAGGCCTTGATCTGTATTCTACTGTCCGCTATGCGTGCGTCCATTACCCGTCCAAGGATTAAGGCCTTGATCTGTATTCTACTGTGCGCTGTGCGTGCGTCTATTAACCGTGCCAGGATTAAGGCCTTGATCTGTATTCTACTGTCCGCTGTGCGTGCGTCCATTACACTTGCCAGGATTAAGGCCTTGATCTGTATTCTACTGTGCGCTGTGCGTGCGTCCATGGCCCTTGCCAGGATTAAGGCCTTGATCTGTATTCTACTGTGCGTGGGTATATTACCCTTGCCAGGATGAAGGCCCTGATCTGTATTCTACTGTGCGCTGTGCGTGCGTCCATTACCTTTGTCAGGATTAAGGCCTTGATCTGTATTCTACTGTCCGCTATGCGTGCGTCCATTACCCGTCCAAGGATTAAGGCCTTGATCTGTATTCTACTGTGCGCTGTGCGTGCGTCTATTAACCGTGCCAGGATTAAGGCCTTGATCTGTATTCTACTGTCCGCTGTGCGTGCGTCCATTACACTTGCCAGGATTAAGGCCTTGATCTGTATTCTACTGTGCGCTGTGCGTGCGTCCATAACCCTTGCCAGGATTAAGGCCTTGATCTGTATTCTACTGTGCGCTGTGCGTGCGTCTACTAACCGTGCCAGGATTATGGCCTTGATCTGTATTCTACTGTGCGTGGGTCTATTACCCTTGCCAGGATGAAGGCCCTGATCTGTATTCTACTGTGCGCTGTGCGTGCGTCCATTACCCTTGCCAGGATTAAAGCCTTGATCTGTATTCTACTGTCCGCTATGCGTGCGTCCATTACCCGTCCAAGGATTAAGGCCCTGATCTGTATTCTACTGTGCGCTGTGCGTGCGTCTATTAACCGTGCCAGGATTAAGGCCTTGATCTGTATTCTACTGTGCGCTGTGCGTGCGTCCATTACCCTTGCCAGGATTAAGGCCTTGATCTGTATTCTTCTGTGCGTGGGTATATTACCCTTGCCAGGATGAAGGCCCTGATCTGTATTCTACTGTCCGCTGTGCGTGCGTCCATTACCTTTGTCAGGATTAAGGCCTTGATCTGTATTCCATTGTGCGCTGTGCGTACGTCTATTAACCGTGCCAGGATTATGGCCTTGATCTGTATTTTACTGTGCGTGGGTCTATTACCCTTGCCAGGATGAAGGCCCTGATCTGTATTCTACTGTGCGCTGTGTATGCGTCCATTACCCTTGCCAGGATTAAAGCCTTGATCTGTATTCTACTGTCCGCTATGCGTGCGTCCATTACCCGTCCAAGGATTAAGGCCCTGATCTGTATTCTACTGTGCGCTGTGCGTGCGTCTATTAACCGTGCCAGGATTAAGGCCTTCATCTGTATTCAACTGTCCGCTATGCGTGCGTCCATTACCCGTCCAAGGATTAAGGCCTTGATCTGTATTCTACTGTGCGCTGTGCGTGCGTCTATTAACCGTGCCATGATTAAAGCCTTGATCTGTATTCTACTGTCGGCTATGCGTGCGTCCATTACCCGTCCAAGGATTAAGGCCCTGATCTGTATTCTACTGTGCGCTGTGCGTGCGTCTATTAACCGTGCCAGGATTAAGGCCTTGATCTGTATTCTACTGTCCGCTGTGCGTGCGTCCATTACCCTTGCCAGGATTAAGGCCTTGATCTGTATTCTACTGTGCGTGGGTATATTACCCTTGCCAGGATGAAGGCCCTGATCTGTATTCTACTGTCCGCTGTGCGTGCGTCCATTACCTTTGTCAGGATTAAGGCCTTGATCTGTATTCTATTGTGCGCTGTGCGTGCGTCTATTAACCGTGCCAGGATTATGGCCTTGATCTGTATTTTACTGTGCGTGGGTCTATTACCCTTGCCAGGATGAAGGCCCTGATCAGTATTCTACTGTGCGCTGTGCGTGCGTCCATTACCCTTGCCAGGATTAAAGCCTTGATCTGTATTCTTCTATGCGCTGTGCGTGCGTCTATTAGCCTTGTCAGGATTAAGGTCTTGATCTGTATTCTACTGTGCGCTGTGCGTGCGTCTATTAACCGTGCCAGGATTAAGGCCTTGGTCTGCATTCTATTGTGCGTGCGTCCATTACTCTTGCCAAGATTAAGGCCTAGATCTGTATTCTACTGTCCGCTGTGCGTGCGTCCATTACCCTTGCCAGGATTAAGGCCTTGATCTGTATTCTAATGTCGGCTGTGCGTGCGTCCAATACCATTGCCAGGATTAAGGCCTTGATCTGTATTCTACTGTGCGTGGGTCCATTACTCTTGCCAGGATTCAGGCCTCAATCTGTATTCTACTGTGCGCTGTGCGTGGGTCCATTACTCTTGCCAGGATTAAGGCCTTGATCTGTATTCTACTGTCCGCTGTGAGTGCGTCCATTACCCTTGCCAGGATTAAGGCCTTGATCTGTATTCTACTGTGCGCTCTGCGTGCGTCTATTAACCATGCCAGGATTAAGGCCTTGATCTAGCTGTATTCTACTGTGTGCTGTGCTTGCGTCTATTAACCGTGCCAGGATTAAGGCCTTGGTCTGCATTCTATTGTGCGTGCGTCAATTACTCTTGCTAAGATTAAGGCCTAGATCTGTATTCTACTGTCCGCTGTGCGTGCGTCCATTACCCTTGCCAGGATTAAGGCCTTGATCTGTATTCTACTGTCCGCTGTGCGTGCGTCCATTACCCTTGCCAGGATTAAGGCCTTGATCTGTATTCTACTGTGCGTGGGTCCATTACTTTTGCCAGGATTCAGGCCTAAATCTGTATTCTACTGTGCGCTGTGCGTGGGTCCATTACTCTTGCCAGGATTAAGGCCTTGATCTGTATTCTACTGTCCGCTGTGAGTGCGTCCATTACCCTTGCCAGGATTAAGGCCTTGATCTGTATTCTACTGTGCGCTCTGCGTGCATCTATTAACCGTGCCAGGATTAAAGCCTTGATCTGTATTCTACTGTGCGCTGTGCTTGCGTCTATTAACCGTGCCAGGATTAAGGCCTTGGTCTGCATTCTATTGTGCGTGCGTCCATTACTCTTGCCAAGATTAAGGCCTAGATCTGTCTTCTACTGTCTGCTGTGCGTGCGTCCATTACCCTTGCCAGGATTAAGGCCTTGATCTGTATTCTACTGTCCGCTGTGCGTGCGTCCATTACCCTTGCTAGGATTAAGGCCTTGATCTGTATTCTACTGTGCGCTGTGCGTGCGTCCATTACCTTTGTCAGGATTAAGGCCATGATCTGTATTCTATTGTGCGCTGTGCGTGCGTCTATTAACCGTGCCAGGATTATGGCCTTGATCTGTATTCTACTGTGCGTGCGTCTATTACCCTTGCCAGGATGAAGGCCCTGATCTGTATTCTACTGTGCTCTGTGTATGCGTCCATTACCCTTGCCAGGATTAAAGCCTTGATCTGTATTCTACTGTGCGCTGTGCGTGCGTCTATTAGCCTTGTCAGGATTAAGGTCTTGATCTGTATTCTACTGTGCGCTGTGCGTGCGTCTATTAACCGTACCAGGATTAAGGCTTCGATCTGTATTCTACTGTGCGCTGTGCGTGGGTCCATTACTCTTGCCAGGATTCAGGCCTCAATCTGTATTCTACTGTGCGCTGTGCGTGGGTCCATTACTCTTGCCAGGATTAAGGCCTCGATTTGTATTCTACTGTGCGCTGTGAGTGCGTCCATTACCCTTGCCAGGATTAAGGCCTTGATCTGAATTCTACTGTGCGCTGTGCGTGCGTCTATTAACCGTGCCAGGATTAAGGCCTTCATCTGTATTCTACTGTGCGCTGTGCGTGCGTCCATTACCCTTGCCAGGATTAAAGCCTTGATCTGTATTCTACTGTCCGCTATGCGTGCGTCTATTACCCGTCCAAGGATTAAGGCCCTGATCTGTATTCTACTGTGCGCTGTGCGTGCGTCTATTAACCGAGCCAGGATTAAGGCCTTGATCTGTATTCTACTGTGCGCTGTGCGTGCGTCCATTACCCTTGCCAGGATTAAGGCCTTGATCTGTATTCTTCTGTGCGTGGGTATATTACCCTTGCCAGGATGAAGGCCCTGATCTGTATTCTACTGTCCGCTGTGCGTGCGTCCATTACCTTTGTCAGGATTAAGGCCTTGATCTGTATTCTATTGTGCGCTGTGCGTGCGTCTATTAACCGTGCCAGGATTATGGCCTTGATCTGTATTTTACTGTGCGTGGGTCTATTACCCTTGCCAGGATGAAGGCCCTGATCTGTATTCTACTGTGCGCTGTGTATGCGTCCATTACCCTTGCCAGGATTAAAGCCTTGATCTGTATTCTACTGTCCGCTATGCGTGCGTCCATTACCCGTCCAAGGATTAAGGCCCTGATCTGTATTCTACTGTGCGCTGTGCGTGCGTCTATTAACCGTGCCAGGATTAAGGCCTTCATCTGTATTCAACTGTCCGCTATGCGTGCGTCCATTACCCGTCCAAGGATTAAGGCCTTGATCTGTATTCTACTGTGCGCTGTGCGTGCGTCTATTAACCGTGCCATGATTAAAGCCTTGATCTGTATTCTACTGTCGGCTATGCGTGCGTCCATTACCCGTCCAAGGATTAAGGCCCTGATCTGTATTCTACTGTGCGCTGTGCGTGCGTCTATTAACCGTGCCAGGATTAAGGCCTTGATCTGTATTCTACTGTCCGCTGTGCGTGCGTCCATTACCCTTGCCAGGATTAAGGCCTTGATCTGTATTCTACTGTGCGTGGGTATATTACCCTTGCCAGGATGAAGGCCCTGATCTGTATTCTACTGTCCGCTGTGCGTGCGTCCATTACCTTTGTCAGGATTAAGGCCTTGATCTGTATTCTATTGTGCGCTGTGCGTGCGTCTATTAACCGTGCCAGGATTATGGCCTTGATCTGTATTTTACTGTGCGTGGGTCTATTACTCTTGCCAGGATTCAGGCCCTGATCAGTATTCTACTGTGCGCTGTGCGTGCGTCCATTACCCTTGCCAGGATTAAAGCCTTGATCTGTATTCTACTATGCGCTGTGCGTGCGTCTATTAGCCTTGTCAGGATTAAGGTCTTGATCTGTATTCTACTGTGCGCTGTGCGTGCGTCTATTCACCGTGCCAGGATTAAGGCCTTCATCTGCATTCTATTGTGCGTGCGTCCATTACTCTTGCCAAGATTAAGGCCTAGATCTGTATTCTTCTGTCCGCTGTGCGTGCGTCCATTACCCTTGCCAGGATTAAGGCCTTGATCTGTATTCTACTGTCGGCTGTGCGTGCGTCCATTACCATTGCCAGGATTAAGGCCTTGATCTTTATTCTACTGTGCGTGGGTCCATTACTCTTGCCAGGATTCAGGCCTCAATCTGTATTCTACTGTGCGCTGTGCGTGGGTCCATTACTCTTGCCAGGATTAAGGCCTTGATCTGTATTCTACTGTCCGCTGTGAGTGCGTCCATTACCCTTGCCAGGATTAAGGCCTTGATCTGTATTCTACTGTGGGCTCTGCGTGCGTCTATTAACCATGCCAGGATTAAGGCCTTGATCTAGCTGTATTCTACTGTGTGCTGTGCTTGCGTCTATCAACCGTGCCAGGATTAAGGCCTTGGTCTGCATTCTATTGTGCGTGCGTCAATTACTCTTGCTAAGATTAAGGCCTAGATCTGTATTCTACTGTCCGCTGTGCGTGCGTCCATTACCCTTGCCAGGATTAAGGCCTTGATCTGTATTCTACTGTCCGCTGTGCGTGCGTCCATTACCCTTGCCAGGATTAAGGCCTTGATCTGTATTCTACTGTGCGTGGGTCCATTACTTTTGCCAGGATTCAGGCCTAAATCTGTATTCTACTGTGCGCTGTGCGTGGGTCCATTACTCTTGCCAGGATTAAGGCCTTGATCTGTATTCTACTGTCCGCTGTGAGTGCGTCCATTACCCTTGCCAGGATTAAGGCCTTGATCTGTATTCTACTGTGCGCTCTGCGTGCATCTATTAACCGTGCCAGGATTAAAGCCTTGATCTGTATTCTACTGTGCGCTGTGCTTGCGTCTATTAACCGTGCCAGGATTAAGGCCTTGGTCTGCATTCTATTGTGCGTGCGTCCATTACTCTTGCCAAGATTAAGGCCTAGATCTGTCTTCTACTGTCTGCTGTGCGTGTGTCCATTACCCTTGCCAGGATTAAGGCCTTGATCTGTATTCTACTGTCCGCTGTGCGTGCGTCCATTACCCTTGCTAGGATTAAGGCCTTGATCTGTATTCTACTGTGCGCTGTGCGTGCGTCCATTACCTTTTTCAGGATTAAGGCCATGGTCTGTATTCTATTGTGCGCTGTGCGTGCGTCTATTAACCGTGCCAGGATTATGGCCTTGATCTGTATTCTACTGTGCGTGGGTCTATTACCCTTGCCAGGATGAAGGCCCTGATCTGTATTCTACTGTGCTCTGTGTATGCGTCCATTACCCTTGCCAGGATTAAAGTCTTGATCTGTATTCTACTGTGCGCTGTGCGTGCGTCTATTAGCCTTGTCAGGATTAAGGTCTTGATCTGTATTCTACTGTGCGCTGTGCGTGCGTCTATTAACCGTACCAGGATTAAGGCTTCGATCTGTATTCTACTGTGCGCTGTGCGTGGGTCCATTACTCTTGCCAGGATTCAGGCCTCAATCTGTATTCTACTGTGCGCTGTGCGTGGGTCCATTACTCTTGCCAGGATTAAGGCCTCGATTTGTATTCTACTGTGCGCTGTGAGTGCGTCCATTACCCTTGCCAGGATTAAGGCCTTGATCTGTATTCTACTGTGCGCTGTGCGTGCGTCTATTAACCGTGCCAGGATTAAGGCCTTCATCTGTATTCTACTGTGCGCTGTGCGTGCGTCTATTACCCTTGAGAGGATTAAGGCCTCAATCTGTATTCTACTGTGCGCTGTGCGTGGGTCCATTTCTCTTGCCAAGCTTAAGGCCTTGATCTGTACTCTACTGTGCGTGCGTCTATTAACCGAGCCAGGATTAAGGCCTTGATCTGTATTCTACTGTACGCTGTGCGTGCGTCTATTAACCGATCCAGGACTAAGGTCATGATCTGTATTCTACTGTGCGCTGTGCGTGCGTCCATTACCCTTGTCAGGATTAAGGCCTCGATCTGTATTCTACTGTGCGTGCGTCTATTAACCGAGCCAGGATTAAGGCCTTGATCTGTATTCTACTGTACGCTGTGCGTGCGTCTATTAACCGATCCAGGACTAAGGTCATGATCTGTATTCTACTGTGCGCTGTGCGTGCGTCCATTACCCTTGTCAGGATTAAGGCCTTGATCTGTATTCTACTGTGCGCTGTGCATGCGCCCATTACCCTTGCCAGGATTAAGGCCTTGATCTGTATTCTACTGTGCGTGCGTCTATTAACCTTGCCAGGACTAAGGCCCTGATCTGTATTCTACTGTACGCTGTGCGTGCGTCTATTAACCGAGCCAGGACTAAGGCCATGATCTGTATTCTTACCTGCCAGGCTTCCTATCCAAAGAATCTGTTTACCCAATTGCAAGTCACTCCTCTAACGAGTCACTGTCAAGCTATCAAGATATTTACTCATAATTTCCATCTATCACGCTTCATTCACTGTATCTTGTGTTTTTGCTTCAGCGGAGGCATCGCACTTACCTACGTCACAATACAACACTCGCTGGCCTTAGTGGATTTGACGTATGGGCTGATGTTTGGGCTCGGCATCGGGATATCATACGTTGTGCCCATGAGCTGTGCAATGAAGGTAATGGTAAAAGTCAATACTCTCATTGATGATCGTTGAACGAAGAGAATCCGATTAAGTTGATATCATTGTATGATCTCACCGTTGTAGAGTGCATCTGCAGGAGGGGCAAACCATATAGAATTGAGTTATTTATCGAGTCTGGACCAGAGGATCAAGTGATTGACATCATGAGCTCTGATCTACGCAGTTGGGGTACAATGACATGGTTCAACCGAGTCACTGAGCCTGACCGTACCTTTTCTGTACTGGAATCCAAAGCGCCATAAAAACCAGAACAGAGATACATAGCTGGATCCAGTAAATGATCACCCAAATGCCTGTCTGGAGTATTAACCATTGTCCTTAATAAAATCAAGGAAGGATTTCCTCGTGTGTTTTATAGGCGACCAATTGACTTGCCTTTGCATGTGTTTGTGACGGATGCCACCGGTAGGGCAGGATAGGCTCACATTGTCGCGAACACCTGGTATTATCATGATCTGATAGCGGTTCAAAAATATATGTTCATGGTATAGTCGAAATCGAATAATCGACTCTGCTTTCAGCAGATATTTCTTATGCTTATGGAATTTGTTTTGATGCTGTCGTATATCGACACTGACAGCTACATGGCTATGGTTGTTGACATTTTAATCTTTTTAATATATATGAATATTAGCCAAAGTGCCGTAAAATTATTTGTGTTTTATTTACAGTGGATTCCCGACAGAAAAGGGCTTGCCTGTGGATTAACCGTGGCAGGATTCGGGGGTGGTGCCTTCATCTTTGACTACGTTCAAACATGGTTCATCAACCCAGACAACGATCCACTTCCGAAGCATGTCGACGACAAGTAGTAAGTAGTTAAAGCAGACACGTTGTGCTATCCCTGGAACATGTTCACGGGGGTCGCTAAACCCAACTGACTCTTAATACATTGGCTGCTTTGCGGTCGTTGTTACTCACATATGCCCCGTCTTAAGATATGTAAACATGTTCCTCGACTGACAGTAACTCGAAGTTCATTGAGTTGGATTTAACGCCGCTTTTAACAGTATTCCAGTTATATCACGGCGTGTCAGCTTAATGTGGAAGAAAAGCCCGAAGTGATGCAGGTCTCAGACGTTTACCACTTCGGTGAAACCCACGAACACGGGTATGGTGCTGACAAACCTAGAAACATAATCGGGGTGAACCGGGATTCGAACCCACAATGATAGGTTTCTGGCGTGCCCAAGGGACGCAACTCTGCACAGCAAATCGCGACTCCTTAGACGAATGGGCCACCCGTGCTCCCAACTGTGAAAGAGAATTTGAATGTGATGTTTAGAGAATATTTGAGTCGATTTTATACACCAGCCAAATAATACCCCACGCAACTGATGAGCCCAAAGTACTGAGAAACGCGATCTATTTATGCCCAGTGCCAGCCACGTTGTCCGTCACCCCAGCAACGCTATTGTTTGCGGATGACAACAGTTAAAGTAGTGTTATGGTGACAGAAAAAAATCAGATTTGTTCATCCACGAGTGAGTGAGTGAGTGAGTGTGTAGGGTTTAACGCAGCTTTTATCAGTATTCTAGTTATATCACGGCGTGTCAGCTTAATGTGGGAGAAAAGCCCGAAGTGAAGCAGGCCTCGGACGTTTACCACTTCACGAGCACGGGTATGGTGCTGACAAACTTAGAAACATAATCGGGGCGAACCGGGATTCGAACCAACAAACATAGGTTTCTGGCGTGCCCAAGGGACGCAACTCCGCACAGCGAATAGCGGCGCCTTAGACGACTGGGCCACCCGTGCCCCCTGTTCATCCATGACGGTTTTTAACATGAATGGATATGTGTATCAGATAAAATAACTTTGAAAATACAACATACGTTTATAGTGTATTTCAGTAATAGGTTTTGATCTTATCTATTACAGCTACTTCACGCAAGAGAAAATTCTGTCTCGAGTCCCTCCCGTGTTCTGTGTTTTGGCTGGTTGCTACGCAGCTCTACAAGTGATTGGGATCCTGTTACTAAGGGACCCGCCCGAGGTTAGAATATAGTTCAGCGATAACACACGGAGCTTCACCGATGTAGGGAATTGCCATTGGGTCCATCACAATCGGAGGCTCCAATTATATAGGCTATCCTACAGACTCATTTATTGAGTTCTTATGTGACAACGACCTCAAAGATATATATTTGCCGTAAAAGGTGACTATGCTTGTCGTAACAGGCGACCAACGGGATCGGGTGGTCAGGCTCGCTGACTTGGTTGATGCATGTCATCGTATCCCAATTACGCTCGATGCTGATAATATCAATCACTGGATTGTCTGGTCCAGACTCGATTATTTACAGACCGCCGTCATATAACTGGAATATTGCTGAGTGCGGCGTTAAACAACAAACCAACCAACCAACATTCAAAACGTCAACGCAAGGGAATATTCAGTCTCCAGCAAAGACATTCCATTGTGCGTAAAATGGCAAAATACCGATTACGTCACTCACATAATTTACGAAAAAAGTAAGTGTTTCTTTGTTGCAGAACGCCGCCCCCAGCGAAATGCCAGTTTTAACTGAAGTTAACACTTAGAATGGGATCTACACCCGTCGTAACAATGCATGCGACAAACGAATTTGTGCGCTTTAATTAACAACTACATCTCTTCTCTAGAGTTAAAAAAATCATTTGGGGGTTGGCAGATGAGGCTCGTGGACGAGGAAGATGATGAGGAAGGGGAAGAGTCATCACTCACAGACGGAGGGCTGCCCACGTCCTTCACCAGGTACAGTTACATATGCAGGTCATCCTACAGAGTTCAACCATCTTGGTTGTTGCTATTTTCTGTTGCGTGTATGCCTCCTCCTTATGGAGTGGTCGTGCAGTGCTTCAAAGTATCAACACTGTTGGTTGGTTGGTTTGTTGTTTAACGCCGCACTCGGCAATATTCCAGCTATATGACGGCGGTCTGTAAATAATCGAGTCTGGACCAGACAATCCAGTGATTGATATTATCAGCATCGAGCGTAATTGGGATACGATGACATGCATCAACCAAGTCAGCGAGCCTGACCACCCGATCCCGTTAGTCGCCTTTTACGACAAGCATAGTCACCTTTTACGGCAAGCATGGGTTGCTGAAGACCTATTCTACCCCGGAATCTTCAGGGGTCGTATCAACAATGGTTTAGCAAGGTTTTTCAACATTTTCGTTGTGGCAGTAAATTCAGGAGTATTGGGGTCTTGCTCAATGTCTGGTCAAGATGATCTACAGCATGTCGCCATGTATGTTATTGAGTGTGACGTTAAACAGCAAACCAGGAAACACACATTTATCATCCAAAACTGGCTCCCACAGGAGATATCGCTTGGGTGAGATCAAGCGATATCTACACTGCAGATATCGATGCAATGAAATTGCATCACAATGCTTTGCAGACCATTGTGACGTCATTGGTTACCATACGTCACAATCAAATGACATCACAAATGGTTCTGCTACTGAAGCTGCAAGCAGTACGTTTTACAATAGGACACTGCTAATTACTGTCTACAAATTGAAAAAGTTGAAAGAATGATGTTGGATGATAAATAAAATCTCACCCTCGTGTCTTTTGATATCAAATATATCAACACTCGGAATTTTTCTACTTTTATCAACTCGTGTTGATATATTTGATATCATAAGACACTCGGGTGAGATGCTCTATATATACGATGCAAGGGACAGGATCTTGATTTCCCAGACGCTGACAAGAACAATAACATGGAGAAGTGACACGGAATTGATGATCACATTGGTCGCATTGTCTGACATGCAACTATTTGAGTGACATTTCGTACAATCCTATATATATCCTACATGTAGACGTTTTGTTCTTATGACAAAAGATGCCGTGACTACCTTAACACAAAAAGCATTCGTGTGCAATGCAAAGACCTTTTAAAACCCAATAAATGTTACAGTCAATAAGTGTAGTGTTACCACAATAGAGCTATTAGCTGTAAATGTGGGACGTCAGGCTCGTCTGACAGTATTGCTGAGGGTCATTTATTAGTAATTGTCCTGTGACCCTATCTTTTACAATGATTTAATTGTCTGAATGGTCTCACGCATGTGTACTTTTTTAACATTAAACTGAAAATATACACTTACATAACATTTATTATTTTAAAATCGGTCCATTGAATATTTTGGTGAAAATGTCTTTCATATTGATCAGGACATTTAATTCAATAAACGTTTTCTGCAAAAATGTATTGGAAAGTGAATTTTGGACAATCGTCAAAATATGCTACTTTTTTACGAGATTTCAAAACCCAAACGAGAATTGGAACCTATTTTCTTAATTTGAATTTTCAAATCGCCATTCTCGAAAATACTTTTGCTGTCAAAATTTCAATTAATTGCTATATTTAATGGAATACTTCTATGCCGTTAATCCCCTGTTTTTAAAGAATGCAATTAGTCAACAGATAATAATAAATCACTTCTTTTCAGCTATTTGTCTTTTAATAATATAGATAACCTAGGTGTTGTTTTTAATACGATGCAAAATAAAAATACTTTTTCTGGAAAAAATTAAATATACTCCTTATACAAATATTCTAAACAAAATATTGATCACATGTATTTCCTTGTTAAATCAAGTAATATTACACTGTATAGTTTAAATTCAATTGTTAAAAACGCTCGTCACACACCATTTTAGATGTAATCACTGATGAGAAACGCCTATGGTTTTGCACTTCGTCACATATGTAGATTGATATAATTGTGAAAAAATAGACTAATGCATTGACACACATGTGATCGAGAAGATATAACAGCGGAACTCTGCGCTTTATGAAAACTGTAACATTAAGCAAGGTCTTGCCGGGCGAATACAAAGGGAGATCACTCTCAACTTGAGTATGAACTGAGATTAGCTGCCCCTGGGTTGTCAATAAGGTCACGGTCATTACTATAGTCAGCCAACACCTTCCGTCTTCATCCTTCCAAAATTGTAGAAAAGGTATGTTGTTTGAACTTGTTTCGTCAGCACGGACTCGGAAAGAAATATATTCTAATTATCGGCTCCATACTTATGTGGATCGCAGTCGCGATTAAGGACATTTCTGACGTTAAATCTTTGATGCGTTCTTCGTGTTTTCGAAGTAGTAGAGTCATATACCTTGAATCCGTGACACTTTGTTCCTACCTTTTTTTATGATGGATTTGTTTAACTGACATGATTAACTAAAAATTAGCCCCCATGACCCTCTGGAAAATGACGGCTAACTCTGCCAGAACGCAAAATTCAAAATGGCCGTCGACGCCATTTTTAATAGCTTGAAATAGTATATCTCTAGAAGAATATCAGCCACAGACACATATAAGGTGTCTAATTCCACTAATTTGAACATGATAAATCCATTGGAATCGTTATTTTTTACATTAGAAGCAATTCTGACCTTGAATTCCAAGATGGCCGCCGGCTGCCATCTTGAAAAACAGAACATATCATATCTCAAATACTAGATGGGCTACAAGAACAAATGAGGTGTCTTATCTAACTCATTTTAACACGATAAAACTATTGGAATGGTTAACTTTATCCTTGGGATCATATTTATCTCAATATTCAAAATGGTCACCAACAATGTAGGATATAAGGTATACTCAACTACAAAAGAAACGCACATGCCGGATAAGTTTGAAGGGTTATATCTTGGAAACTACATGAGCTAGAAATATATTTTTTGTAGGTGATTAAAGCTAAAATGTTCAATTTAACAAATCTATTAGTAACGACCACAATTGATCATGTTAAAGTATTAAACATTAATTTTGCGTTTCTTTGAGTTATGCGTTTCTTTAGCGGTTGGGTATAGTATTGTCATACCTTAAAAAATGATAAACTGATTGTAATGATATTGGTATAAATTTTAATGTGCATAGTTGTATATGCCCTATCTAACTGTCATGTTCATTCAATACCAGTGTAATGTGATATTGATCAATATCTAAGGATTGAGGGGGAAATTGTCTGTTTGACCTCAACAATTTGTTTGAAGCACAACATCAACAACCTAAAACTGATTTTGAATGTTAAAGCAAATAACTTAATGCTAAGGTAGTTATAATAAATTCTGCAAAGGATATATTATTTTCAGATGCCAAGGAAAACATTTTGCTATATTTGATTCGGTATCAGGTGCCTATTAGTCACTGCATTGTAGTAATAGATCTAAATAAAGCTTCTGTAGTGGTAATAGTGACCATAAGGATATCACTGATGAAAGCGCTCAGCATCTTCAGCGGGTGAACCTCCGAGAAGCACAGAGTATTTTCTTCAATCATGTTCATCAAGTAATTTTCAAAGATCATGAATTCCGTACCGTACAAAGTCTCCTGAATGATTACAAGCGCATCATCTCAAATTTTGGGCATAATTCAATAGTTAAATCAAGCTTCTTCAAGAACTTCTGATCAAAGAATTTGGTGAAAGCATCAGATTTCATGAACGCAATCAGAAGAATCAGAGTGAACTGGTCTATGATACCACAGCAGGAGGAACATATGTTGAGGCTGCAATATATTCACTTGGTGTCAGCAATGATCAGCTAGCTATGAATGTTGAAGCAAGTCAAGGAGCAAATCATGAGCATTAACACTGACCCCTGGCCTCCATACATCCATGAATTGGAGAGAGAAGAAGAACTGAGTGAACTTCTATTGAAGCTGATCACCTGGATGAAGCATCCAAAGATGGCTGTCATTGATGATTGTCCAACTGTCCGTTCAATTGCTTCTGTCATCACATCACCAGAAAACACACTGCATTTGAGACGAATATGTCAGTCATGCTACATGGACTGACAAAAAGTAGGGAGATCATTGATGTAATGCACAAAGATGGTTTGGGAATCAGCTACAAATATGTTATTTTGCTGCGGGATTTCTGGGTAGCGACTGACCTAAAGCATTCATTGAATTGTCCTTTCGAGCTTGCTGAAGGCAAACCTGCTGTGGCTATAGTAGACAATTATGACTTCAAGAGTGACACACTCATTGGTGCTGATCAACCTCACCGCACTAACGTGATGTTTGTTCAACCAGAATCTTTTGATTCAGAACCGTTGGAGAGTCATGAAACTTGTCAAGTTCCCACTGCAAAACTGGCCTCATCTCTCTCTGCCTCTCTCAAGGAACTTGGAAGTGAAATGCAGAAGATTTATCCATACAAAACAGTTAAACGTGGAGAGCCACCCATCAGGACAGATACAGAAAACAACAGTATTCTTTTGGACACATCTACTCAGAGGACACGTGGTGTTATTCATGCACTGGCCAGGGCCTAAGATGACCTCTCAAGACCAAAGACAGAAGAACAGCAAGTGCCTGGTTAAAAAGGGTTTCATGCTAACATGTCACAACCGCAAGAGAAGAGCCGCGCAATATACCACATGACATATTCTGACCCGCCTAGTAAGACCATCCTTTATGATGTGATGTGCAAACTTGCTAAGTCAATTATTGAAAAAAAGATGCCTTTCGCAATCATGGTAGGTGATTATCCGGTCTACTTGCTCTTGCTGGAGTTGAAAAGTGAGAAGGCGGTTCAGTTCAGCAAAATGTTGCCATTCATGGCACCCTTCCACATCCAAATGTCATTCATTTACACCATTTACAAGAGGTTTAAGGGTTCAGGTATTTCTGATGTGTTAGTGGCAGAAGGTGTATTTGCAGAAGGGTATGTAGATCAAGCACTCCGAGGAAAACATTTCAAGCGTGGTGTACGATGTCTGTACCTCTTCTATGAAACAATGGTCCATATGATGCTAAAAAAACACCTGATGTGTATCAAAAAGAAACACCAACTGATCTCTGCTAGATGCGTGTGTGACGAGGAAATGTCAGAATGCATTATACCAATTCATGTGCTTTCTGGATGTGACCATAACTCTGGTTTCTATGGGATTGGCAGGAAGGAGTAAGGAGTTTCCAAAGCATCTTTTTACTTGCGTTCTGTTGTTCCTAGTACAGTATTACCTCCTCATAGAATTATAAGTATTTCAAACACCGTAATAATTTCATATATTGTGACCATTTTAAATAGAGATAAATATGATCCGAAGGATAAAATTAACCATTCCGATAGTTTTATCGTGTTAAAATGAGTTAGATAAGACACCTCATTTGTTCTTGTAGCCCTTCTAGTATTCGAGATATGATATGAACTGTTTTTCAAGATGGCAACCGGCGGCAATCTTGGAATTCAAGGTCAGAATTGCTTCTAATGTAAACAATAACGATTCCAATGGATTGATCATGTTCAAATTAGTGGAATTAGACACCTTAAATGTGTCTGTGGCTGATTTTCTTCTAGAGATATACTATTTCATGCTATTAAAAATGGCGTCGACGGCCATTTTGAATTTTGCGTTCTGGCAGAGTTAGCCGTCATTTTCCAGAGCGTCTTAGGGGCTAATTTTTTAGTTAATCATGTCGGTTAAACAAGTCCATCATAAAAAAAGGTAGGAACAAAGTAGTCACGGATTCCAGGGATATGACTCTACTAAAGTGTAGAATTGAATCACACATTTTAAAAAATGAATCGTAATGTCAATGTTTGAACGTAAAGCAAACTATTTGTTTGGGAAATTATCTATGGCAAAGGATGCCGCCATCTTGGATGAAGATAAAATAAACTTACGACAGGTATGGGTCTATCTTAGATTTAGGACAAATTAAGAGTGAGTGAGTGAGTTAGGTTTAACGCAGCTTTTAACAGTATTCTTGTTATATCGCGGCGTGTCAGTTTGATGTGGGAGGAAAGCCCGAAGTGATGCAGGTCTCAGACGTTTACCACATCGGTGAAACCCACGAGCACGGGTATGGTGCTGACAAATCCGGAAACACAAACTTAAGATATCTTCGCGCTACGATAGTTTCGAAAATAGGGTACGATAGCATAGGATTTCCTTTCGGTAACTTTACGATATTTGGGCCCTTGACGCTAATAAATCACACGATCAAGTTTTTTATTGCAGCCGAGCGGTCGGGTTCGATTCCCGACATGGGTACAATGTGTGAAGCCCATTTCTGGTGTTCCCCGCCGTGATATTGCTGGAATATTGCTAAAAGCGGCGTACTCAATCACTCACTCACTAACTATTATTGCAGCCATGGCAGAGATGAGCAGGAACAATACGTGTCATGGAAACAGAGCTGGAAGACCAAGGACTTCTGGCTGCTGTGGTTCTCCCTGTTCTTCAACAGTCAGGGTCTTGTGTTCTTTTCAACTTTCTGGAAGGTAAGTAAAGTTGCCGAGAAATAAGCAAGTCAGAACACATATATAGAGGATATTATATGAGTGGTCATGTCATACTATGTTTACGAGACGAGTGTCGTAGGAACCACAATTTGTCAAATGACGTCAACAATCTTCAGCTATGTCATGGTTTCTAGTGTGACGTCATTCCGACCTGACGTCACAATAAGATTCGAATGACGTCAACAATGCCGTCCGGATGACGGAATCAATACACTGTTGTCTCGTGACGTGAGTGAGTTTGTTGTTTAACGCCGCACTTAGCAATATTCCAGCTATATGATGGCGGTCTGTAAATAATCGAGTCTGGACCAGACAATCCAGGGATTGAATATCATGAGCATCGATCCACGCAAATGGAAAATGATCTTCAGACATTACTGTAATAAAGGCCAAAAATACAACCCAAATAACATAGTATATCTTAAAATACATGTCTCCAGACATGACATTTGATAAACATATCTTTAACTGTTAAAATGTGTGAATGTTAACATGATTTATTCTAAGCGCTTTCATATTTTGAAATGATTATTTCAGGCATACGGACAGACTTTCATCCATGATGATCAGTTCTTGGCCGTTGTTGGAAGCTTTGCTTCCTTATTCAATGCAGGAGGCAGAATCCTCTGGGGATATTTAGGCGACAAATTCTCCTTTAAGGTATACGATACTGACAATGAAACGTCTGAATTGCGAGAAATCCATGTCCATGCATTGGTGAACAGTGATTCGAGGAAATAAGTAATATTGAGGCTGTACAAACATTCGAATTTCAGCCAGAAATTGTAGATCTTATTTTGCAACATGTAAGCTTACACGCTTATGTTCCCGTGTTTTAGGTGAACATGTGACTTTCCTTTGCATGTATTTGTGACAGGTGCCATCGGTGGGGAAGGTTACACTCACCTTTTCGCGAATACTTGGTATCATCCCTGTTTGATAGTGCTTCATACACACATGCTCATGATACATTCGCAACCACTCCCCCCTTTCCGTAACCTGCAAGAAGACTCGTCCCCCTATTGATGAATGTTATGTGCGAAAATACGACAAAGCAATCGGAATGCGCGTATGAATTCAAGTACTTCGGTAACAGAATCCCTCAGGAATATTTTATTTTACACATGTCTTGCATCTAGTGTGAGTGTGTATGGTTTTACGTCGCTTTTAGCAATATTCCAGCAATATCACGGCGGGGGACACCAGAAATGGGCTTCACACAATGTACCAATGTCGGGAATCGAACCCGGGTCTTCGGCGTGACGAGCGAACGCTGTAACCACTAGGCTACCCGACCACCCCCTCTTGCATCTAAATATATACCCAAGATAAAGTTAAGTGTGTTCAACCATACTGTATAAATACCGTTAGTCCCGATGTGTTTAAATAGCATCCGGAAAAAAATGGAAATATAAGTGAATCATTACGCAATTCTTTTAACTATGCCCGTTTGCGCTTAAACGTAACCCAGCCGCAAAAACGACCGCGAGAGGGGCACGAGTCGCTTTTCGGCTGGTCCCGGAATAACACGAGTTGGTCACGAATGGCTCATGATATAGTCGGAATCGTACAATCTGCTTTTGGCAGATATTTAGCAGATGGATATGGAAAGGGTTTTGTCGGGTTTTTTTCACAATGGTGCATGGTTGATCTTTGTTGTAGGTTGCAATGCTGTGTTTGTGTGCAGTATTCACAGTGCTGATGGCCACCTATAAGTTGACTGAACTGGTGGGAAAATCTTTATTCTTCATCTACGTGTGTCTTACGTTCGGAACTTTCAGTGGAAACTATTCACTGTTTCCAGTGGCTACGGCGCAGACATTTGGACAGCGCTACTTTGTACAGAACTACGGACTGCTGTTCACTTCTCAGGTTTGTACAACAAATTCCGTTGACATTGCATGAGATCATATAACATGTATTACTGGAGCATATCTGACCCGAAAGGAGATCTGAGTTGGGTTCAGCGACACTTTGAACACTCACCCACTCACGGCTCGTGTCAACTCGATGTGGCACGAAAGTCGTAAGTGATGCGGGTCTCAGACGTTCACCACTTTAGTGAAACCCACGAGCACGGGTATACTGCTGACAAACCCAGAACATAATCGGGGCGAACTGGGATTAAAACCGACCAACATAGGTGTCTGTCACGCCTAAGGGATATAATTCTGCATAGCAAATTGCGGTGCCTTAGACGACTGGGCCACCAGTGCCCGTAGGGATGTTTGAGCTTAAACTGATAAAAAGTGACCTGTACCATTTACATTTTGAAATGCTCCAGATATGTTCTATTTTTCGCAGTACTATCAAATGTGACTTTGACTTTGTTTTCCACCTTTGGACAATCTGAATATCACTACCACAGGCGGAGATATTGTTTCAGACAACTATTCTGCAAGAGACAAATACGATTTTTTTGGTTCTATTCATGATGTTTCAAGTGCAGAACATGCACGCGCATCGATCCTTGGATCTCATCTTACGTTTCACACTATATTGTTGTCGCTCCTGGGCTTGGCATTCGGTCGTTACTGCATCTCGACGATTCCAACAATTACCTTATAAATTTCGTACCAAATAACATCACATTCACGCTCCAAATATATTCTTATAGTGAGTGAGTGAGTACGGTTTTACGCCGTTTTTAGCAATATTCCAGCAAATCGAACCCGGGTCTTCGGCGTGACGAGCGAACGCTTTAACCACTAGGCTACCCGACCGCCCCTATTCTTATAGCTTTTGTATATGTACACTCGATAACCAATAACTTTGAGTTGATAATGGCTGATGCATCCATTTGACAGATGACAGACTTTGGTACAGCGGCTTCACTAGTGATGTCGGATCCCAGTCATGTTACACAAATGCCTTTATCAGATTACCATGTCTGTTCATCCCAATGAATAAGTGTTAGAATATCATAATTTTGTCAGAGCGAGTTATTCTCTCAGTCTATTCTTCAGCACATACAATTTTATCTAGAAAAGGAGGAGTCGAACAATATCTTTTCAGTAAATATTTTTTAACAACTCCTCCGTATCCATCTTCCCATGACTCTCAAATGCACTCGAGACCCGTGAAGATTGTGGGGTAGAATAGGTCTTCAGCAACCCATGCTTGTCGTAAAAGGCGACTATGCTTGTCGTAAAAGGCAACTAACGGGATCGGGTGGTCAGGCTCGCCGACTTGGTTGATGCATGTCAACGATCCCAATTGCGTGGATCGATCCTCATGATATCAATCACTGGATTGTCTGGTCCAGATTATTTACAGACCGACGTCATATAGCTGGAATATTGCCGAGTGCGGCGTTAAACAACAAACAAACCAAACCAAACCAAATGCACCCGATATCTTATAAGTTTGAATATTTGAAAAATAGCGAAAGGGTTTTAAATAGTTTTCCGTAGTTTTGTTCTCTGCATTTCTTTATCAACAGACAGATATGTTGTACTTTGCAGGTCATCATGTCCGTGATCACTGCATTCACTGCTCCCTACATCCAGAACGTCATTGTGTGGTATGGGTTCTTCCTCCTGTCAACTGGGTGTTCTTTCTTCAGTACGTATGGTTTAATATTAAACCTTTTGGAACCTCCCAGAAATGTTCCCTGTCGAATTGCTGTTCTCTCTTCAGAACGTATGGTTTAATATAAAACTTGTATATTAACGATACGCCTCCTTTTGGAACCTCCCAGAAATGTTCCCTGTCGAAATGCTGTTCTCTCTTCAGAACGTATTGTTTAATATAAAATTTGTATATTAACGATACGCCTCTTTTGGGAAAATCCAAGAATCGTTCCTTGTCAACTGGGTGTCCTTTCTTCAGTTTGTATGGTTTAATATAAATCTTGTATAAAAACGACACGCCTCCTTTTGGAACATCCCAGAATATTTTCTTTTCAACTGCATGTTCTTTCTTTAGTACGTATGGTTTATTATAAATCTTGTATATAAACAACATGCCCCCTTTTGGAACATCCCAGAAATGGTCACATGGAGTATCATAAAAAAACTAGAGTTGGTTATTATCCCCCGCCAAACATATTATCCTCAGCTACATGCTGAACTTGTGCCTTTTGCTATTTAGAAATTTCAGAAATATTTATTTTTTACGTTTCCATGGCAACAAGATTAACTTAGGTTCTGTGAGGGTAGGGTTCGTTTCCGGAGCATAACTCATAAACCGTTCAATATCTTTTCATCAAACTTTGCAGGTTTGTCAGGTACATGCTGAACTGGTGCCTTTTGCTATTTAGAAATTTTAGAAAATTTTATTTTTTACGTTTCCATTGCAACAAGATTGACTTAGGTTCCAAACTCTTCTTTTTTTTACAATTTCCATGACAAGTTCAACCTCGGTTAAAAAAAAGTTAGGGTTTGTTCAGATTGAATTATGTCATAAATTCTTTAACAGGGGCTGGGCATATAGCCACGTTAGTGGCAAACTTTTGTTTGTGTTTGCATTGTATTGGTGTTGGGTGTTACCTGGACTAACATTTTATCGGTTATACACTTTCTTTTTTCATTATGTTTGATGTTTTGACATCATGTTTATTTTGTATTACCGTCTGCAAGACGAATGCAGTTGTTATAATAGCAACTACTCAGTTCTTGTCTACTAATGTTTTACTCCCTTTCCAGGTTTCATACTGGTGTTAGCTTTAAAACAAGAGCGACCGTTCATCTGAGATACGAGATTTACAACCATGTTCCATCTGAAACCAATGCTAGTTGAACCAAGTATGTAAATGCACTTACTTTCGAAGAGGCGTCGGCCGAAGAGTAACAACAAACCGAAGATATAACTGAGTGCAGAGATTTCGGACTCCAAGCTCACCCTTTCTATCCGAACGTTGAGAAAGATTACCAAGCTCACCCTTTCTATCTGAACGTTGAGATAGATTACTAAGCTCACCCTTTCCATCTGAACGTTGAGATAGATTCCTAAGCTCACCCTTTCTATCTGAACGTTGTTATAGATTCCCAAGCTCACCCTTTCTATCTGAACGTTGAGATAGATTCCCAAGCTCACCCTTTCTATCTGAATGTTGAGATAGATTCCCAAGCTCACCCTTTCCATCTAAACGTTGAGATAGATTCCCAAGCTCACCCTTTCCATCTGAAAGTTGAGATAGATTCCTAAGCTCACCTTTTCTATCTGAATGTTGAGATAGATTCCCAAGATCACCTTTTCTATCTGAACGTTGAGATAGATTCCCAAGCTCACCCTTTCTATCTGAACGTTGAGATAGATTCCCAAGCTCACCCTTTCTATCTGAACGTTGAGATAGATTCCCAAGCTCACCCTTTCCATCTGAACGTTGAGTTAGATTCCCAAGCTCACCCTTTCTATCTGAACGTTGAGATAGATTCCTATTCGCATGGCCTCACCTTTGGTTCATCAGAAACAATGTTTTATAAAGGAAAGTCAACATATATCTTTTGTAAATGCACTTGGCACTGTTTTTGTATCATGACTACTATTTATGTTACACTGCGGCATCTCATTGTGCTAGCACTATTAAACTTGGCATTAGTCCGGACTAGTACAAACAGCCAGACACGCACGTGCATGCACGTGCAATAATCTTGGACGGGACGTTAAACCCCATTTCACCCCATTCCATGTTTCAGTAACCACTTCCTCATTTATTCAGAACTTTATGACGGAATTGGCATACTTCTGACTTAGTTCATAACAAAGTTTTGTGTACTTCTGATTTTGATATTGTGTTTGGGGGTTTTGGGAAATAGGGGCTGTCTATATTAGTACTTCAAAGGAGAAAGTGTATGGCTGTTTCGAAATTTCGGCTGTTCCGACAAACACTTTTCAGTTTCCTCACTGTCGATAAATTCATAGCATTTACTTTTCTGACCTTAAGTAGATCATTTGATGTTTCGGAAAACATATGAACCTCAAAACAAAAGAACCAATTTCTCAAGCACAGTCAGCAAAATTGTACAAATGTTGCTTGAAATGATAAGGTACAACGCTCAAAATAATAGTTATTTCTTTGTAACAACAACCAGAAAAAGTATGTTTACAACCATGGACTTTCAAAGATATATATAAAGCTACCAATGTTCTTGTTCTATTACAAAACCAGTTCCTCTGTTGAGGTGGGTGGTGTGGTAGTCTAGTGGTTAAAGTGTTCAGTCGTCACGCCGATAACCTTGGTTCGATTCCCCACATGTGTAACTTTTGTGAAGCCAATTTCTGATATTCAAGCCCACCGTGATATTGCTGAAATATTGCTAAAAGCGGCGAAAAAAAACCTTACTCACTCTGTCGATGTAAAGACACATGGTCTTAATTGGTGTATTTCCCATATTAAACTTTTTTGTGTGTGAAATCAATTCACTGCCTTTACCGCCACAGAAGAACTGGTGTAAGCTGAACAAAAGCTTTTGTAGCGTTATATTTGAATCTTCATTACTGTGGCACTACCATGCGACATTGATCAACATCTAATAACGGACGCTGTTTGGCCAATTGCCTCTGAGATATGTGATGTTTTATGCCGTTTTATGAATTAATAGTGCAGCTCTATGATCATCTACTTACGGAATCTGACGCATTATGAATGTAAATATTATTATGATTATTATGATTATTATTATTTTATTATTTACAGATTAAAATAAAAAGTGCAGTCTCATTAAATCATTACATAATCTACATTTCATGTTTACATTTTGATGCAAAATCACACACTGACGGTTTCGAGTTGGAAGTGACTGGTTCTAAGCAGCAAACAGAAAGCCTTCCGTTTCAATTTTCAGGCCAGACGACTTCATCCACGCAAGGACTCTGCAGGATTGCTTATCTTCGCAACACACTGCACATGAACTCGATGCAGTGGTCGTTCAGATAGCCTCAGATAGACTTGGGGCCGATACGTATAGGCCTGACCTTCCACGAAATGGTCAATAACTCCTCCTCCAAGTTAACTGACTGATCCTCCCTCTTCTACCTTGCCACGTTTCAGATTAAGAATGTTGCATATGTCAAGTCCAAAAGACATGACGATGTCATTAGAAGAGGACTCGACAAGGAGAAAATTACGTTCTTCTTCTTCTTATTATTATTATTATTGCATTCAGACAGTCTTCAATACAATATGGCCACCAAACGACGCGACAGTTGGCATCAACAAAGAACACGAAAATAATGTTCAGCATCTAATGATGACCAATCACATTGAGACATGCATTACAAAAAACAAAATATGCAACCTAATGATGTTATTGCCAACTTGCTATCAATTCTATGTAAAACCAATGAAGATACGATTTTAAATTGAAACTCTACGGGACACTTTCGACCTGATCCAAGCTGTTCCTAACCAATTGAGATAAGACACTTTTGATCTTGAAAGTTTGGAGACAGTAATGCAAAGTTTGACAGTAATGCACCTCCTTTATTCAGAGGAAGCGATTGCAAAAGATGTCTACTCTACAATAATAACATGATAAGTGTCCATGCAAAAAGATCATGGAGATGCATTACTTATTATGGCGACCATCGCAGACATATTGCAATATGTTTTCTGGTAACTTTGTAGTAAGCTTCATGGACACAGTGTATGGAAAGTTTGGAAGCGTTTCATTGCATGGTTTAAGAAGAGCACGTCTAAAATTCAAATATTGTTTTGCTCCTTCATTGACCAACAACACCATAAGAACGCACTTGATATCAATGTATTATCAATTTAAGATGAGGGCAAACCTAACACGTCAATGAAACAATGGAAACATGTACCTTTATATTGTGTATTAGCGTTTTTACCATTCTATTTTGATACTGTGATTGTTTGTTGTTTAACACCGCACTCAGCAATATTCCAGATAAATGACGGCGGTCTGTGAATAAATCGAGTCTGAACCAGACAATCCAGTTATCAACATTATGAGCAATTGGAATACAATAATATGCATGAACCAAACCACCAAAAGGTAATTTGAAGAATGAATACTCGGTGGTAACTTGCAGAAGTGTTGTGTAAGTGGCGATACAACATTGTGAACATGTTAATAATCTAATACTGGATAGAGTTGCAATTTGTATGTTTTTGTGTTCATAACCCTATCTGCCTCTGCAGTGGACAGGACCTTATCATGACTCTCACATTGTTGTCTCGACCATTTGGAAAGCCATTCGTCCATTCAAAGCAGCCAGGAATCCTGAAAAGATCGCCAACACAAATAAAACCATGACACTGATGCAAGTGAGAGTGAGTGAGTGCGTTTGGTTTTACGCCGCATTTAGCAATATTTCAGCAATATCACGCCGGGGGACACCAGAAATGGGCTTCACAGATTGTACCTATGTCGGGAATCGAACCCGGGTCCTAGGCATGACGAGCGAACGTTTTAACCACTTGGCTACCCGATCGCCCCAATGCAAGTAAGAAGATAGAGATGTTTGGCAATTATAGTCCAGCAATATCACGGCGGGAACACCAGAAATGGGCTTTAGACATTTTACGAATGTTGGGAAACGAATCGGGTCTTCGGCGTGACGAGCGAACGCTTAACCACTAGTCTACCTAAAATCCCAACATAACAAAAATATTCGAATGAATTATTTCGTAGTGGATGATCGCCAATTTTCAGAAACGTGTCTTACATTGCCGTTGTTTTACATTGCCAGGTCGTCGATCACTATATTGTTTATACAATGCTTTTTTTCGGGAATAATCAATAGAAATACCACAGTGTTACATATTGATCTGCCATGATGTAGTTAGCACTATCATACCAACATGACCAAGTATGCATAGCTCAGATAATTAAAAAAAAGATAACTTACACTGCACACACGCAGCGAATTTGCTTGCACTTATATTGCATATCAGATAAGTTATTTATGTACAAGGCACAACATTGTAGCTAACCTGGTACAAATATAAACGTGTACAGTTATGAAAGGAAGTGTTTGTTGGGAGTTTCGAGCACATCGTAATAAAATGTTATGGAGGCCATCTTGTTTTCTACCAAAACTTGAACGTATGAAAGTTGGGAATGGTATCCGGAAAGTAAAACATAAAGCGGAACAAAAATAATCTGAAGTACTAATCTCCTTCATAACAAGTTATTTACTATTACCGATGTAAAGCAGGTGCCTTGACAATTTTCTTCATAGAGCATGTCATTTAAAGTATTGTCTTGTGCATTCTCCATAAGTATGTTAATCTTCAATCACGTGTTTCACCTGATAAAGGGGGCACGGCTGGCCAAGTCGTCTAAGGCGTGAGTGAGTGAACATGGTTTTACGCCGCTTTTAGCAATATTCCAGCAATATCACGGCGGGGGACACCAAAAGTGGGTTTCTCGCATTGTACCAACGTCGGGAATCGAACCCAGGTCTTCGGCGTGACGAGCGAACGCTTTAACCATGAGGCTACTACCCCCCCCCCCCCCCAAGCAATTGACGTCACATCAAACAGATACAACTAGCCGCTTTGAAACGCATGACAATGATAGCTGTATTTTCTGAAAAGTAACGATGACTCCATTAGTGACAGAATGTCATCATGTAGCTGGAATATTCTTGGATTGTTTAGACATATGAATAACCACTGTTTAATAGCGGGAATATTCCTGAGTGCAGTCTTAAACATCACACACAAAAAACAAAAACATTTGAATATATAATTAAATGACAATATTAATGATAATAATATCTGTGGTTCGGCGACAATATTACCTAGTTCAATCTGTGACATCATGTAATGGAGCATGCTGTTGGACAAGAACTTGTTCTCGGGGGTCACAGGCAAAGGTGTCGTCTTATGTCTGAAACCTGAGTAAATGCCGTTTATGCATACAAGAACATAACATAACATTGTTTGTTTGTTTGTTTGTTTGTTTACCGTGTAAATGCTAATCTTTAATGTGCTGCTATTTTCACGTTATCTGAACTTCAAGGTTTCGTTTGTTTGTTTTTTTACACTGCACACGGCAATATTCCAGCTATATGACGGGGGTCTGTAAATAATCGAGTCTGGACCAGACTATCCAGTGATTGACATCATGAACATCGATCCACGCAACTGTGATACGATGACATGCATCAATAAAGTCAGCGTGTAAATGCTAATCTTTAATGTGCTGCTATTTTCACGTTATCTGAACTTTAAGGTTTCGTTTGTTTGTTGTTTTACACCGCACTCGGAAATATTCCAGCTATATGACGGGGGTCTGTAAATAATCGAGTCTGGACCAGACTATCCAGTGATTGACATCATGAACATCGATCCACGCAACTGGGATACGATGACATGCATCAATAAAGTCAGCGAGCCTGACCACCTGATCCTGTTAGTCGCCTCTTACGACAAGCATAGTCACCTTTTACGGCAAGCATGGGTTGCTGAAGACCTATTCTATCCCGGATCTTCACGGGTACAAGAACATAACAGAACATGTTAATGGTTACATCCCCTGTGGTAATGCCGAGTCAGAAATGGACCCAAAAACCATAAGCTTGTTATAAGAGCGGGCCAAGACAGAGACGGTTGTCAGGCTTTGTCTTAATTGTGTTTGTTTGTTTGTTCACTGTTTAACGCCTCACTAAGCAATATTCCATCCATATGACGGCAGTCTGTAATAATCGAGTCTGAACCACACAAGCCAGTGATTGTTATCTTGAGCATCGTTCAGCATTGAGATACGATGACAGGCAATCAACAAAGTCACCAAGCCTGACGACCGGTTATATCCCATTAGTTAGACATCCCATTAGTTAGACGTCCCAATTGTTAGACATGTTTATTTAGGCAAAGAGGGAATATACCTACAGGTGTAATGGATCAGTCCTAATTAGATTAAAGTACTGGGTAGGGAAAGGGGACTCACAGTTTAGGGAGTATATATGTTATAATTTCGTTTAATTAACCTAAATTACCTTACTCTCAGCACAGGTTCAATAGGCATGAGATTAACTATGTAAACTATGGAGTAGCTTAATTGTCTTACCGTATGATCAGTTGAAGGAGTTGAGTTTAGATTATCTACTCATCAAACAAATAAAAATGATCTTGGGGTACGTATCGTTATCAGTATCGATATGGCTGGTTTAAGGAAAGTAGAGTATCTCACCTCTCCGCGTGGAAGTGAGCAGTTGATATTAGATTGATATATTTGCAACAGAAACCGCGAGAGGCAAACCTGCACACATTGGAGATGTGTCGTCAGGACGTGCAATGGGAAATGTACGACTGTCGGTGACTTTCTTTGCAATCAGTCGGAACATAACCATCCGCCTGAAGATGAAACCAGAGTGAACTTTGTCATCAATCTTCGTAAAAGAGCTCGAGAAGAAACCACACAGATGCAGGCATTGTACGAGGAGCAAGTCACTTAAGTAGATGAAGCCAACATGCCAGCGATGCCATCATTTCAGAGCGTGAAAAGTGCACTTTACAGGTAAATATCATCCCGTATTTTTGACTTGGTTAGAATTTACTTCTTTTTTTTAGGTCCCACATAACTTGTTTCGCTCTTAAACATGTCAAGTTAATGAAATAATTATCAATATTTCATGTAACACATGTGTAACTGTTCCTTTGCTCTTGTTCAGGCGTTACATTCCAGCGT